TCCATTTTTTGACCTTCACCAGGACCTGCCCAACTTGGGCCGAGTAACTCGGACTCAGCCTGGGCAAGGGCGAGTCCCGTCCCCTAGTCGTGGGTTTGTACATTGGTTGTCACCGAATTTTGATCTTGAATGAGCAAAACTTGCTACGATAACTTTGTGTAGCTTGAAATAATTGGAGGTATAAATAACTGATGATGTGAGGAAACTAAGCAATTGTTCTTCTTAATGCCCATAATCTTATCCTAAACAATATTAACGTGCCGCATGAACAAGATGCCCCTACATAATGCATAAATAACAAATGTATCATTGGTCTAAGAAGTGTGAGGACTTTAAACTTTTTCTTTTCTCTTAACCCGTTCGGTGCTCGAGTAAAAGAGCTGAGTTGTGTAAAGTAGGTAAGCAACGTAAAATTTTGTCAAACTTATGATAAATTCAACTGAATCGAATTAGTTGGGAAAAAACTTTGACAATGATGATAACTCTCCAAAAAAATACAAACTTGAAAGGTGGGGGAAAATATCAAGAGGGCTACTGATTTGATCAACTTTCACAACAGTCTTGAGATCTAAAAATATATAGAATGCACTAATAAATAGCCATAAAAAATATGTAGAAAAAGGATTTGTATACAATGAGTGAAGTTTCCAAGGGTTCTTCCGCATCGTCCCAGCCGTTTCATTGTAAAAAAGCCAAGGCTGGAGTGTGTTTATCTAAAGTATCGGAATGCAATCTATAAATATCCAGTGCTCGCATCAAAACTTCCCTAGCGGAAATTAAATATAATAGAGAATTTAAAAATTTTGTCATTTAAACTTAGTGGTAGACTTTATCGGTATGGGCGAAGGAGGTCAACAATACGAACCTTTAGAATTTAAAGGACTTGAAGTTAATTTGCATTTCTAAGGTAAGGGTGTACGGCCAGTTTTATGTGAAAAATGATAAATTGAAAATTGGAAAGCCAAGAAATAGTATGTCCATATTGGACAAATTGCTATATTAGTTCATCCACAATTTTTTTTTCTTTTTTTCTTCTTTTTGTCCTTGCTTTTTTTAAAAAAGTGTATGAAACTGTAGAGTTATAAATTGATAATGCCAAAATATGTTGACCTTACTCTTTTTCCAAATAATATACTAACGAGAAATGAAATATTCATGATTGGCCAAGAAATAACTAAAAAAAGTACACTTTTGATATCTTGGGTCGATAATCCAGGAAAATGGTGAGATTGAAGAAGATGTCGTATATAGAATTAAAGTAGGGTGCGCGAAGTTGATACGTGCAACAAGAATTTTATCTAATCACTGCAAACGAATAAAGTCGAAGGGCAAGTTATATAGGACAACTGTGAGACTAGCTTTGCTTTATGAGCTGAATATTGGGCGGTCAAGAAACAACATATCCCATAGAATGAGGGTAGCTGAGTTGAGGATGCTAAGATGAATGAGTTGCAAAACAATAAGGGATAGAATTCGAGACGAATACATTCTGGAGAATTTAGGTGTAGCACTAATAGGCGATCAGATGAGAGAAGTTAGACTTAGGTGGGTTGGCCATGTGTGGACCAGGCCTAGTGCAATACCTGTTAGTAAGTGCAAGTTAATTCAAGTGGAAGGCTAAAAAAAGTGAGGGTTATGCCCAAAAAGACGTAGTTGGAAGTAATGAGAAAATATATGGGGACTTATAGCCTCGTTGAGAATATGACCCTTAAAAAAGCATAATGACGGACTAGAATTCATGTAGCCGACCCAAATTAGTTGGAAAAAGAATTTGATGATGATGCTGAATTGGAATATCCAAGATGGTCGAAGTCTCCAAAATAGAAATGATGTGGTTTGTATGAGGTTGCAACCTTAAACAATCAAAGTAAGGTGCATCTCCAAACTTTATTATGAGATGAAAATTCTTAAGATGGTACAAAAATTTATTTTTATCTCTAATAACCAATTTTCAAAGTCCAAAAATGGTTTATGTAGAATATATATATATACGCATGAAAATCTTGAAAATGAACATCCCAAATAATATGTTGCAGTATGTGCTATTTTTTGGACTTGGAATATCTTTTTTCTCCATACTTATACCTCTCAATGTCGAGATGATGAATTAGATGTTTTTCCAGCATCAAAACTACCTTATTTATTTTTTGAATGATTTTAAAGGTGCGCCATAATTTTACATTTTAAAGTGTCAACCTTATCTAAACCTTTTCCAAAGATAATACTAAAGCTAGTTAATTAAATATAATGATTTTTGTAATCAAATTTATTGTCATTGCTAATCTTAGAGTTACTTGGAATCATTGCCTTTTATATTGAGGGTGGAGAATTATGATTTTCTAAACCAGGTTGAAATTATTCCTCTTTGTACTCTACATAAAAAAAGAGAAAATTACGTATAGACCATATTGGGGGTTCAATTACAATATAGGAACATATTGTTCTCAAATTACGGGCGGCACCCCCCTCTCCCAGCATTTTTTTCCCATTGTCCAATAAACTGAACATCGGACAAATGAGTTTTTTGTGTTTAAACGAAAAGAAATATTTTTTTTCCCCAAGTTACCTCCCGTTTGGTAAACTGAACATCGGACAAATGAGTTTTTTGTGTTCATACGAAAAGAAGCTTCCTGGTAAACTGAACATCGGACAAATGAGTTTTTTTATATTTAAACGAAAAGAAGCTGTCCGGTGTCCGAAATACCGGACAGGTAGCTTTGCTCTTTAAGTTATATAGTCCGTCCATTCAAGAGTAGAAAAATGAACGGTGGTGATGTAAAAAAAAGCTCGAGTTTGTTTGGCAAGGTATTCTCTCCATTCTTCGTCTCCCTCTCTTAATCTCTCGTTTTACCTTCGTCTGCTGCCCGACCCCTCTCAATCTCGCTTCCATAATAACAATCTCTTTATGCCCTGTCTCTCTCAATGCTGCCCTCACTCTTTGCCACTGCCTGACTCTCTCTTGTTACCTCCCACTTTGGTGATTCTCTAGCTGCTGCCTCTCTCTTTTGGTGTTTCTCTCACTGCCGCCTCCTCTCACTCTCTTGTTGCCACCTTCTTTAGTAGTACCTACTTGCCGTGGGAGTTGTGGAGAGGAGGGAGAGGGTAAGATAAGGTATGCGTATGTGTTGAGAGAGGGTTTCAGTACACAGAGGGGCATTAGAGAGGGAAAGAGGGCAGCAGAGAGAGAAAAAGATATTGACAAAGACATGAGGGATTAGAAGGATATTGCCTAGAGATTGAGAGAGGGAACCAGAGAGGGGCAAGGGAGAGAAGAGAGAGACGGGCTCTCTCTCCTTGTGTGCAAAATAATAACTCATGTATTCGATTTACCGGACAAGGGGGATAACTTAGAGAGGAAAAAATAAAACATTGTAGGATGGGAGGAGTGCCGCCGGTAATTTGGGAACAATGTGTTTCCTTGACCATATTCTCTATTATGGTCTGTAGGTAATTTTCTCTAAAAAAAACAAAAATTATAGAGATCGATTTTGTATATAGAAGTTACAATTATCAGTAGCCGTTAGATTTATGATTAACAATTTAGGATATGTCATCGACCAAGCTCTAAGTTCAAAAGAAAATTTATCGATCCTTATAACAAATCTTAAGCTTTAGAATTTGAAGTATGATAGATTAGAGTATTTGTTACGTCATTACATCAAAGGAAAATGATCGATACCATATCAAAAGGAAAATCTCTACGAGAAGCTGCATGAAGTGTAGCTGCACCAATCTATACCTTCCTACGGTGTAGAGTACAAACTCTTTCCTTATCCAAAGAAATTGACTCTTTCGGGCCCATTCAATAAGAACAAGAATTGGGAGTTTTGAGGTAGATAAATACAGGAATAACTCCCTCATGTGACCTCCTAACTTTCTATGTGATGCATTATCTTCGCTTTTGCCTCTAATTAGTGAAAGCTGAAAAATACCTCAAAAAATATAATTGCTTAATGGAATAATGAATTTCAGAAATTCTTATATATATATATATATATAGAAGATGCTAAGGTGAGCCCACTAACTCACATAATAATATAAATCTAATGGTTCAGATTGAATTTGAACCAATCTGACGGCCAAGAGTATTTGAATTTTATTTATTTTTCTACAAATTCAAATCACTTGAAATATTAAGTGAATATTCTTTTCATCAAGCCGTACCTAATAAAAATATAAAAAAATAATAATCTGTAAAATAAAAATGACCAAAATACCTCCAAAAATTTACAGGGGTATTTTGATCTTTTTTTTTATGTAAAATAATTTTTTTAGTATTTTTCAAATATTCACCTATTTTTTATCAACATGCGTCTAAAATTTCAAGTGATTTGGAATTATAGAAAAACATCAGACATCCGTGATCGTTAGATCGACCTAGATTCAATCTAGACCATTGGGTTCATTTTTTATTGTGAACTCATTGGCTCAATGAAGCAGTTTTCTATATATATATATATGTAAGTCTGCCCAACGCCTATAGGTAAAAATGAACAGTGAATTCGCCTGCCCTCATCACCGTCCAAAGTTCATCGCACGGTCATGATTGTCTAGTAATGTTTCATTATTCTTTTTTTTTTTCTACAAATCAGAATGATTTGAAATTTAGAACATGTGTACATCTTAATGAGACGCATCTAATAAAAATATAAAAAAAACAATCCGTGAAAAACAAATTGACCAAAATGCCCCCAATACTTTTCATGGGTATTTTGGTCAATTTTTTTCATGTAAAATATTTTTTTGATATTTTTTGTAGATTCACTTATTTTTAATGAAAACTAGCTTTAAATTTCAAGTCATTCCGATTTATAAAAAAAAAAATGAAAAATGAAACACTATCGAATATTTGTGTCCATGTGAGAAGGTAGGCAAAATCACTGTTCATTTTCGCCTATAGGCCTCTTGTAATAGCTTCTTTTTCTTTTTTTTTTCCTCTATATATATATATATATATATATATAAGAATTTCTGAAATTTCTGAAAAGGTACAAACAAGATTGAACACTTGAACATGGACCGGCCATTTCACATATAGCTGCTATAACACAAGATTTGTAAAGTTTTGTGTCCTTATACAATAAGCCACAATCATATCAACATATTTTATATGAATGATGAAGGTGACTTCAGTAGCGGGGCCCTGGTGGTGTATATGGAGGAGGCCTTGGAGGTGTTCCATATGGGGAACCTGCAAAAAGAAAGAAAGCAGAAATGTTCTTGAACACCAGCAGTTATACCTAGCCACTCTCTTATTAAGTAAAAACTGAGAATTCCACAGATAAAATGCCATTAGTAAAAGAACTTATTCGTCCGGAAGACAAAATGCGACTTGCAAGAGAACCCCTAACTTGATAAGGAGCACCCCCTACTTAGTTAATTTATCTATTAAACGATGATACTTTCTTTCGCCCAATTGACAACATATATTTGTTAGGTGATATCATGTTATTGCTTTTGGGTAGGTCACAGCTTAGTTTGCCCAAGCTTTGAACCAGTGTTCAAAAACTTGATCTTGAAGACTCACTTAATTCCTGCCAAAACTGTTTTTGACTCGCTACAGAAGAAGTTCATGGTAAGAGTCAAAAAGTATATAGTCACTAAATCAAAACCGACATTATTTTTTTCGTTTTTCTTTTTTTTCAAATGTTAACTTGAGACTTTTGAGAATGAAAATCTAGCCATCACGTTTTCATAACCCTAGCCACCTTTTCTTTGAGCCTGGTCTTCCTAAATCAAACCCACAATCCCACTGCATTGGAAAATGGCATTTACAAGTTAGATTGGAACAGAAAATTATGTACAACCAAAAACTATAAAACTCGCCCAATGGACGAGGAGTTGAGCCACTGAGTTTTTCTGACGCAGAAACAAGTTTTTATACATTTAGTCCCAAAATTTGCATGTTTGTTATGGGACAAACTTCAAGGCTTGAAGCCTTGACCTCCCAAGTGGATTGTCTTGCTAGTGTAGACCAATGCCTACGGTAAAGAGAGGATCTCATGTTACATCCAATATGTATTGCTGTACCCTCAGCAAAAAAGCCACCATGTTTTTTCATTGTCGACATCATCATTGTCATATAAACCAGTTTTGTCCTAAAAGCAAATGCCCTAGCACCTTAGTGAAAATTTAGGTTATGCCCCAACCAAAAAGACTATCACAGTATCACTAACTTATTATACGGATAAAATTTACTAAAAAGGCATCTGCTTACATACCTGATATTGGTATACACTTAAAGTCTACCAGAAGATAGGATACCATATCCCTACCATATGGTTATGCTATTTAGAAACTTAAAATGAGCACTAAGTACAAATCTATTGATGTTATTTAAAAGATGGGGAGCTAGTGTACGTCCATTCTATTTATTAAAAGACACGTACTGTCAGCTTACTAGTGACTTAAATTACTTCAACCCCCTAGATTTTCTAAAAGGAAAATTCACGCAAATATCTCTTAATTAGCGGTATATAAAAAGCGTCCTCCATGTTTCACATTTTACCTTCATATCCTTTGTTTTGTATTTCATTGTTTTGTTTTTTTTTTCCTTAAAATACCCTCAGTTTGAAACTATTAGATCCGAACACTCATTGTAAGGAATTAAAGCGGTCTAGAACTAATAACTCAGGACAGCTCATTGTAAGGAATCAAAACAGAGAGGAACTACTAGTTCCAAGCCACTCATTGTAAGGAATCAAAGTAGTCAGGGACTAATTGTTCTCGATTACTTTGATCCATTACAAAGATGGGTGAATCAAAGCGGTTCAAAACTATTTGTTCCAAACTGGTGACAAGAATTGCAGTGATCGAACCAGTACCAATAATTCTGAACCAGGGCATTTAGGGGAAAAAAAAAAAACATGAGATAAGAGAATGAGCATAAAAAGTAAAATATAGGGGATTTTTTAAAATACTGCTAACTATAAGGGATATAATGCAAATTTTCAGTTCTACAAAACCAACAAAAGAACAATAAAAATAAAAACTTCTAAGATATATTAAAATGTAAATTTAAGTGTACTCTTAAGCTAATTCATCTCTCTTTCTCTCTCTCTCTCTCTCAATATAACCCAAAACATTGATGTACTTGTGACCTTTTTACTCTCTCTCTCTCTGTGATATATATAGGGAAATGATCTAATGCAACGGTTGTATCATAGTATAATGTAACCACACTTCTAGAAAGCCATGTTTGTGGTATTTGTATGACACTTATGATCCAAACTTTTGTACATGCACTCTCTTCATCTCAATAATCAATCTAACAAAAACCTAATTTGATCCTATAAATGGTCAAAATGAGTTCCCTCAAACAATGAATCTAGACCGTCCATTTGACGAATTTCAAGATCTAGGTCTTTATGAATTCAAAATCATTTTTTTCCATTTAAATATTATTAATCTAAGGATAATAAAGTCATCTAAAAAATTTGGACAAAGAAAAGATTATTCTAATGCCTAGATCTAAGCATCTCACCAAATGGACAGCCCCTATGTTAATTGGGCTAAAAAAATACTTTATGTTGTTTTTTCAAATTTCTCTTTTTTGTGATTGTTCATTAGAATGAAAAGAGTATATATTTTAAATTTTGGATCAAACAAATGGCCCTAACATGGTTTTTGAAAATTGTTGCATTATATTACTATTCAATCGTTGCATAAAATCACTCCCCATATATATATATATGTGTGTGTGTGTGTGTGGAAAATGATGCCATACGCAGTCTCGCGTACATAAAATTCATTCGCCGACGGTTCTGATTTCATTCCCAATCTCACTGTTAGACTCGCTCGATTTTGAATTAAAGGCTCTGATATGTTGTAGAGGGCCCGACAAAAACAGGATGGCAACTCTTTTGTCTCTTCCTCTCTCTCTCAACATCTCCCGCCCCAGCCTCTCTTCCATGGGTCCCACCCAAACTTTCTCTCTCCATTTTCCATGCAAACTCTCTCTCTCCTGCTAACTCTCACCCGTCCAAACTCTCCCTCTCCATCTTCCGCCCTCTCTCTCCTCTCTCTCTCTCTCTCTCTCTCTCTTCAGAGAGGTTCTCTATCTCCCTCTCTACCGCTCTCTCTCGCTGCCCCTCTCTACCCCTCTCTCTCAATCTCCCTCTTTGCCCCTCACTCTCAATATCTCGCCACCTCGCTCTGCCCCTCTCTCTCAATCTTCCTCTTTGCAGCAAAAAAAAGTGTTGCTCCACTGTTTCAGAGACCTTAGCCTGTGGAGAGTTTAGGATAAACAGCAAGCACCCCAGGTGGAGATCATGTGGAGCATGAAGCATTAAAATGCGGACCTCCACACCTTGCTTTAGAGGGTAAACAGTCAATCTAGAGACAGAGCTTGTCCTGTGTTACAGAGGCAAATGGACAACTCAATCCTTTTCTCGTTTCACAGAGATAGAGCTAGAGGAGGAGGTGAACCTACCCTGTTGTTTAGAGAGTAAATGCGAGCTCAAGGGTCCTGTATTAAAGAGACAAAGTGAGAACTTGATCAACTCTGTTTTAGAGAGAGAACGGGAGAGCTAACTCTCACTTGTTCTAGAGAGAGAAAATCAGACAAGGAAGGACAAAAAGTTCAATCACCCCTTTTTCGAAATCAATAGAAGTTATTTTAAAGAGAGAAACATTGCTCCATTTATTAGAGAGAGATGGTTTGAGTGGCTGAGAGGGGTAGCAAGAGGATGAGAGATGGGCAGAGAGAGGCAGCAAGAGATTTTGAGATAGGCGGCAAAGAGGGGCAGCGAGAGAAAGAACCTGGCTGGGGAGAGGGAGAGAGAGAGAAAGAGGTGAAATACGGAGAGAGGGTATACCGTGAGATTGGGAACAAGACCGTCGGAGTATTAATTTCATATACACGAGGCTGTGTATGGCATCCTTTTCTTACATATATATATCATTATCATCATCATCATCATCATCATCATCATCATCATCATCGTCGTCAAAGCCTTTTCCCAACTAATTGGGGTCGGCTACACGAACTCTAGTCCGCCACTCTGCTCCATTACGGGTTATACCCTCAATAAGGCCATAAGTCCCCATCATCTTTTCTCACTACTTCCATCCATGTCCTTTTGGTTCAACCCCTTTCTCTTTTTGAGCTTTCCACTTGAACTAACTCACACTACCTAACAGGTGTTGTACTTGGTCCATGCCATATATAGCCAACCCATCTAAGTCTACTCACTCTCATCTTATCGTCTATTGATGCCAGACCTAAATTTTCCCGAATGCATTTACTTCAAATTCTATCACTTCTTATCTTGTCATTCATCCATATCAATAGCCTCATCTCCGCTACACTCATTCCATGGGTATAGTTTTTTGACCACCCAACATTCCGCCTCATAAAACAAAGTTGGTCTCACAGCTGTCCTATAGAACTTGCCATTCAGCTTCATTGGTATGTTGCGATCACATAAAATTCCGGTTGCACATCACTACTTCGCCCACTCAGTTCTTATTCTTTGTGCTACATCTTCCATAATTTCTCCATTTTTCTGGATTATCGGCCTAAGATATCAAAAGTACACGCTTTTTGGTATTTTCTTACTGTCAATCTTAACCACTTCTTCATTTCTATTCCTATTATTATTAAACTTGCATTCCATATACTTTGTCTTAGTCGGGCTAATTTGAAAACCTTTAGATTCTACGGCATCCCTCCAAAGTTCTAATTTTGTATTGACATCATTTCGGGTCTCATCGATTAAAACGATGTCATCTACAAATAATATGTACCACGCTACCGCATCTTGTAGGTGCCTAGTTAAGTCATCCATAACTAAGACAAAAAGGTATGGACTCAGTGCTGACCCCTAATGTAGACGTATTGTCACTGAAAACTCACTCAATCTCTTCACTAGTTATTCATACACTAGTTAGCGCCCCATCGTACATATCTCTCACTAAGTCGATGTAGTGTCTGGAGACTCCTTTCTCTTCCAACACCCGCCAAATCAAATTTGATACGTTATCATAAGCTTCTCTAGATCAATAGGCATCAATAATAATAATAATAATAATAATATATATATATATATATATATAGGGTGCGGTTTGTATAGAGCCTAGGCTCTAAACAATCAAATTAGAGCCTACCTTCAAATAGTGGCGAGAAATATGGTTTCAATACTGGAAATTTTTGTGATAGCCTGAAAATATATTTTCATCTTTATTTATTAAGTTTAAAGCTTCAAAAATAGTGTAGGTCGACATATCTATGAAAACTTTAAAATCTTGAAAATTGACGGTCCAAAAATGTGTTACAAAATATATCATTTCCAAAACTTGAAATCCATTTTTTTTCTCTTGTCCATACATCTTGATGTTGAGATGATCAATTTGAGGATATTTGGATATCAAAACAACCTCTTCTAGTGAAATTTTTGTGATAGGCTCCAATTTGATTGTTTAGAGCCTCGGCTCTATATAAACTTTTCCCGTATATATATGTATATATATATATATATATATATATATATATATATAGTAGTAGTGTAGTCGTACTACTTAAGTAGTAGTAGTAGTCGTCGTACGTAGTAGTTATTACGTACGTACCGTAACCGTAACTTAAGTTAAGGGTAACGGTAAACGGTTAGTT